GGCTGGGATAACCGAGATGAGCAGAAGAAGGAGAAACGTTTGTGGACGCAAATACGACAGCCTGGTTCAGAATCAATAGAAGTCGTTTCTGGCTTATTTGCCAAATAGCAATGTTAGTCATATTTGCTTGGCATTTACTATTTTTTAATTACCATAAATATGTCAGTTGGGTAAGCAATAATGTTGCTTCAAGTAACTTCTATTAGGAGGGAAAGGGGAAAAACCTCAAAAGACTGGGGGGTGGGAAGAAGAAAAAAATAGAAAAAGAGTTGCAAAGAGAAACATTAACGCTTTTGAATTTTAGCTGTCACCATGCAATTTCTTATTTATAACATGGAGCACAATGGATCTGCAGCTGTGGGAATGTTATGCACATAACACTGACAACATAACTGGAAGTGATTTCTTTCTCCTGGCTTCAGATGTTCTCGATTAATGTGGCCGTGAGATTTCACATACTGAGAAGTTAAACTGTGTTTTAAATTCAAGTTCCAATGGAGGATTCAGGAAAAAAAAAAAATTATACCTGTAGTTCGAAGCGTGTATGGGATTTTATTTTTTTTAAAAAGCTTAGAAATGTCTTTCTGTACGGAACTGTAATGGCCTCATTACCTTCCATAAACTCATCTTCAGCGAGAGTTGACTTGAGTAAATAAGCACCATATTCTGCCAGCTTTCTTGGACTTGATGATCTTAAAGGTCTTTTCCAACCTGAACGGTTCTATGATTCTGTAAAGATCATGGTCTATGGCTTTGTCTGCCCTTCCTGCCTCCAGGGGCTTGCAGGGCTGGCCTGGCTGCTGGGGGATGGAGGGCAATGCCGGAGTCGCTCCTTCCATCTCTAGGCTCTACGAAAGGTGGCAGCCGGGTCAGCAGGTTTCTGCTGTGTCCTATATTTCTTGGGATGGCTTAGAAAGAAAAGTTACAGGGTTTCCACAGAGCCCAAGAGGGCTCTTCTCACTTTTAGAAGAAGATTTTTGGGGCACAAATAGGAGTTGTGATCCCAGTTCACTTTGATTTTCGGTGGGTTTTGGGTACCTAATTGTCCTCGGTGCATCTGAAAATGCACCTCCGTTACTTTTAAATCAAAATACTTTTTAAATCAAAATATTTTTGCAATGATTTTGCCTCTGTAACATTTCCATTTTGTTATAAAAGCCATTTTGATCAAAGGTGAAAATATTGTTGGTTCCACTATTTCTAGCTTCTCCCTGAAGAAATGCTGTCATCTTATTTAAGGCACAATCCAAACCAACAGACCTAGAGTAAAGCGAAGGAAGGGACATTTCCCTATCTTCGTCTCAAATTCCAACCTGTTCTTAGGAGCTGCCTCTTTTTTGTGGCAGTGAGGTGGCTGAGATAAAAATAATACACTTTAGGGTCTGATTCTTCTACCATTAAAACATTTCCTGTTGGCTTCAGTCGTGTCCTTCCAAAATCCTATGTGGAAAGCAAGGATTTGTGTATTTTATGGAAAGAAAATCTCTTTCTGTGGACTTTCCTTTAGTCCGTAGAGCATCCTGATTGTGAGAAGGGATGGCCATTTCCAAGTTTAGGGTCTATTTCTCCTGTAAGAAATTCTCCCGAATCCAGCCAGCCCTCTGCCTCCATGTGCTAAGGTGAAGAGCGAGCGGTGGTTGTCGGAAGTGGCACAAGGCCAATGAAAGTGAGTGGTGGGAGACTGAATTTTCTACAACTCCTCTGCGGGTGTCGTGCTCGCAGCCTCACTGCAGCCAGGCGTCAGTTGCTTCCCAGGCAGAGGGAGCGCGGGGCGGACAACGGGAGCTGGGTTGGGCTGGTCGGTGCTGCGTGTTTGCTTCCGAGGCTGGAGTAAGCCTTTCCACAGAGCGGAGCAGATGCGGCTGTGGCATGGGGAGATGATGGTAGAAAAGCTGCTAGGTCAAAGCAGGATACAGAAAACCAGTTGTCTTCAATGAATGACCGAGATATTTTAGGAATAAAACTTGGAGTGTGCTTTTCCTTCGTGCTTACTGCGTACGAGGTCTCGCTGCTACTGCTCCAGCATCACTGTGATGGTGAAAACCCCTTGCCTGCCAGCGAGGATGGGCTTCGTGTCCAGCACCGAGAGAACTGCAGTGAATTGGTTCTGGGAGTTCGCATCAGCCACGCGCCGTGCAGTAACCAGCCGCTGGTGTAAGATGAAGCCAGATTCGCCTCTGACTAGACCCATTGTACGTCACAAAGCCAAAGGAGATGCACGCAAACATGAAGTCAGCAGTAAGTTGGTGGAGAATCAGACCCTGCAGCTGTATTAATTCAAATTAGTTTATGCAGTTCATCAGGTCTAGTCACAGGTTCTGTTTCAACAGCAACTTCCTCTTCCTCGTACATGTGGTTATTAGAGGCATAAAGCACAGTTTAACAATAAAATAAACGATCGTTATTTATTGGGGAGTGGGCGGTTGGCTAATACTGGAAGTGGTTGGCACTTTTCTTCTTTACGCTTGGAAAATGCAGCTGAACTGCTGCACATCAAGGGAGGTTTTTGCTGATGGAGCTGGAAAAACTTGAGACTTGATGTGTTGGTGGCCTGAGCTCAGGCCTGCGGTTGCACGCTGCTGGTGCTCTCTCTGTCTCACACTCCAAATGACGTCCCCAAGGCTCAAGAGCCCAAATATCGCTCTTCGGAAGGGAGAGCTACATCATCAAAAATGAAGTGCTAACAGGGGCCGATCAGCCTTTGCCACGGTGCCTTTCTGCTGTTGATAGCTTTTGAGAGAGACCTCTGTAATCAATGACAGTAGGTGATGCTACTTGCACAGATTGTAAATATATTTCACTGAGCGTTTTGACATTTTTGCTGATTCTGTCAAAACTCAGGCCCTGCCCTGCTCTCGTCCGCGTGAGACGCTCACATGTGGTAACATAAACAGGAGACTTCTTACGTGAATAATAGTTGCAGGGCCAGAGCCCAAGCCTTAAAGATTGTGAAATATCCCCATCAATGAGTTTATAACAAAAATCATTGTTTTATACATATATTTATATGTATATCTTTGTTTAATGCATCTGGGGTATCCTTTTCTTAGGCAAGCATCATTTACCTTATCTATTTATATGAAATAATTGCAAAGAAGTTAAAACATCTAAGAGGGATGTTTTTAAAAACATCTTTTAATGCCTTAGAGGGATTTATAATTATAAGCTCCTTGACGGTTAAAATCCACTTAAGTAAATATGTCCATTGCTGCTGAATATAACTTTTAATAAAGTATGTCATTTTATATACGTCTGTCTCACTTATTCTTGGTGCTGAGGTGTGGAGAAATGCGTATTGCTGAGTTGAGGACTGCGGGGAAACCCAGGCTGGTTGTCTTGCGTCCGTTTCTTCTAAGCGATAAAGCAGGGACAGCCCTCGTTGATGGTGGGCAGATGCGGGGATCACCAATGGAGAGGAACAGGCTGGAGCCCAACAGCCTCCGGCTTTAACGCCGGTGCCAGAGGCACGTTAGCTCGGCACCAGGGAAAGCTCTCGCTGCCTCCTCGGCTCTGACGTGAGGAGTCAACACGTATTGCAGTCAGCAGGAGCGAGGTGACAGGACATCAAGTCCCTCAGGGCCGTCAGCCGGTCGTGCTTGCGAGCAGCCTCATCATGTGCGCGCCTGCGTAGGGGATCAGCAACTGGCCTTCCAGGGCAGAACTCCTGGTGGTGCTGAGGAGCCTCTTGCTGCCCATCACCAGTTCCCAGTGCCAGCCCAAGACTTTGATTTTGGAAATCCAGCCCTCCAGTGATACAAATACAGAGACTAAAGGCTTGATGTGACTTCTCTCCCTAAGGTATGGACTTTTGCATGTGTGAGGTTTCTGATGCGCTTTTTTTTTCCCCCTTTTTTTTTTTTTGGTGTTTTCAGAGTAGCTCCTTCAAGTAGCATGTTGAGAGAGAGAGCGAGGATTTTCCCCTCTCTTCTAGGTAAAAGGATTGACAGAGACAAACAGCCCAAAACCACTGTCTCTCTCAACTGAGACAATTCAGGCTGAGGAAATCTGTGGTCTTGTCAAAAAAGGAAGCATCCTACAAACCTATGACAGGAGAACTATGACATACAAGTGTTTTTTTTTTCTTTCCAGCTGTGTTTATTACAGAAACTCAGTATTTATGAGGAAAAGAAAGAAGCTTCTTCTTAGTGAGAAAAAGCCTGCTAATTAATTAATAAGAAAAATCCTATTAAATAGAGCATGCTGTTGCTTCTGTGCACTTGTTATACCAACCTGCTGAGGTTTTAAGTAGAATTAACTTTCTTTTCTGTTCTCTGGTATGACTCTAAGGTTAATCAGAAAGGAGCTTGTTTGCTACTAGGTTTCTTAGATGGTTCTGCAAAAAGGATGTCCTAAGAGAAAATAGGGTTTCATACCATAAACTTTCAACCTAAGATTACAATCATATTTAAAAACAAAGAGCCCCCAAACCTAAGCCCAAATGGGAGCAGTTTCACGTGCAGAACTGAGAACCTACTGCCGAAGCTTCTCTTTTTTAAAATGTTTTCCCCAAAGGTACTTTTTAATTCAAAAGGTATTTCAGGGAGCAAACATGTCCCTCGGCATCAGCCGCACAGACGTCAGCGGGCTCACGCCAGTGTGGCCTACGAGCAAATTCGGCTCCTCCGTTTCCACCGTCGCTGCTGCTGTGACAAAAGCATCTGCAGAGAGGGATGTTTTCTTTGGAAAGAGCGTGCTTGTGTTCTGGGGAGGGCTGCCAAGTTTATTTTTAAGTGGAAAACACTGAGATTTAAGGCTTCTAACCTCTCTACTATCCCGGGATGCCCGCAGGAGCGACCAGCAGCACAACTCCTGTTTGCAGGCGTCTGTACTGAATGTCCCGTATTTGCAAAAAATCATCCCAAACGACTCAAAAGAAAC